CTCAGGTCATGACCTCATGGCTTGTGGGTTTGAGCCCTGCATCGGGCTCTCTGCATTCATCCAAGAGTCTGCTTCAGATCCTCTGTCTCCCTCTCTCCCTCTCTCTCAAAAATAAATAAACATTAAAAAAAAAAAAAAAAAAAAAGACTTGCATGCTCTACCAACTGAGCCAGCCAGGTGCCCCTAACAGCTTTCTCTTCAGTAAGTTACTATCTGCTTGAAAGTTATGATTTTACCTATTTTAAAAAATTATTCTATAATATGTTTAATGCATGAATTTAGAGCTTACAAATGTATGTCCCCAGGACCCAAGACTCAGGTCTGGGCTGCGGAAATTTTCTGAAACACTAACAGAGATCTGTGCACAAAGATGTTTGTCACACATTATCTGTAATAGGAAATGAAACATCCACAATCTAAAGGTCCAAGAACAGGGGAATGACTAAGATGACAGATTTCATAGTCAGTATATGATACTATTACTAAAATTGTATTTTACACCGGTTACAGTTGATTGTTTATAGGTTTTCCCATGATGTAGTTTTATAATCTAAATTATAATTAGGGATGCCTGGGTGGGTCAGTTGGTTGACCCTGGGTGGGTCAGTTGGTTGGGTCCAGCTTTGGCTCAGGTCATGATCTCATGGTTCATGGGTTTGAGCCGCACGTCGGGCTCTGTGCTGGCAGAACAGAACCTGGAGCCTGCTTCAGATTCTGTATCTCCCTCTTTCTCTACCCCTCCCCCACTTGCACTCTGTCTCTGTCTTTGTATCTCTCTCTCTCTCCCGAAAGTAAATAAACTTAAAAAAAATTTTTTTTAAAGAAAAAAACAATAAATAAATAATAATTAAAATTCCAATTGCTAAATATTTGTTAATCCTTGGGAGATGCTGATTCTACAATGGTAGGTTTACAGCACAGGATCAAATGGCAGCTACACCATGATTTGTTGTATTTTTTAAACTAATAGAGGGAGAGAGAAAGAGAGAAAAGGAAAATTTATCAAAATATAAATAACGGCTGCCTTTGATAGATGGGATTTATGTTTGGTCCTTTCTAAAGTTTTCATGTATTGTTTGTAGAAGCAATAATCACCGCCACCGCCCCCCACCCCCATCCACACACAAAGAGGTGATTGGAGGCTCCAGGTTAACACAGTAGAGGGTGCTAGGGTGGAAAGAGGGGCAGCTGAGTACCTTCCATGGATTGAGCACCAAAACAAGGTGGGGAATCAGAGGGGTCCTCACATGAGGCTGAAGGGAGACAGAGACAAATGCTCAAAGATCATGTGCAAGGCTCCCTACAGGGAAGTTTCATCTGCCCCAGAAGCTTCCAGCTCCCAGTTCCTGCAGGGCCCAGGATCATATTCATAAAATGTGTGGCCAGTGACAGGATCCAGCAATGGCAAGGTAGCCTGCAGGAACCAGGAGGGCAGAGACTTTACCTTCAAGTGGTGTGGGATATTGGTCAAGCCTGGGAATGGCTTCAGCTTCCTCCATCATTTCCTTTTCAGGGTCTAAACTACCCACTTTCACACTGAGGTCCCCAGGGGGGTCTGCAGGTGCTGAGAGAGTACAGGTCCATTTCAGGATCCATCTTCCCATGGACTTCCTGTCTCCCTGAGGCTAGGAAGTCTATGGTTGTCTCTACCTCCTCTCCTTCCCTGGCCACCCATCCAGATTCTAACCAAAGACCACTGCCCTAGGAGTTACCACCTCTGGGCTGCAAAGGGACAAGTAGAAATAGAGCTCTGGAGCAAACAGCAAAGGGGGTAGCACTTAATTCTATCCCAGTGACAAACTCTTGACAAGCTCCCAGTCTCTGTCTGTCTGTGAATCTCTGTGTCTATCAGCCTTCCCAAAACAGAGTGCAGAAGGGGGAGAAATGTCAATGCTCATTTTGGTTAAACATGATAGGAAGTTCACTCTCTACTTTCAGAACCCTAGGAAGTCTCAGTCTCATTTGCCCAAGGATTTGACAGTGAGGACTGGCTTTACCAATGAGGTTATGAGGCCAATGTTTTCCATAAATTGATGAATGGAATGTGCAGGCCCAAGGACATGAAGAACAAATGCAGGGGTGGTTGAGGCACCTGGGTGGCTCAGTCGGTTGAGCGTCCCACTCTTGATTTTGGCTCAGGTCATGATCTCACAGTTTGTGGGATTGAGCCCTACATTGGACTCTGCACTGACAGTGTGGAGCCTACTTGGGATTCTCTTCCTCCCTCCCTCTCTCTCTCTCTCTCTCTCTCTGCCCCTCTCCTGCTCTCTCTCTCAAAATAAATAAATAAAATACAGAGGTGCTTGGGTGGTTCAGTTAGTTAAGTGTCCACCTCTTTTTTTTTTTTTTTAATTTTTAATGTTTATTTTTGAGAGAGAGACAGACAGACAGAGTGTGAGCAGGGGAGGGGCAGAGAGAGACACACACACACAGAATTCAAAGCAGGCTGCAGGCTGTGAACTGTCAGCATGCGGGGCTCGAACTTGTGAACTGTGAGATCATGACCTGAGCTGAAGTTGGATGCTTAACTGATTGAGCCACCCAGGTGCCCCAAGTCCAACTCTTGTTCTAAGCTTAGGTCTTGATCTTGGGGTCATGAGTTCAAGCCCTATGTTGGGTTCTGCACTGGGCATGAAACATACTTAAAAAAAAAAAAAGAAAAAAATGCATTTGGAGCCCATATACAATATAAGATACACTGCAGTCATACCTTTCCAGTGATGCACAGAAAAGTATTTAAATGTCAACTTAAAAATATGCAAGAGTGGGGTACCTGGCTGGCTCAAACGGTAGAGCATGTGACTCTTGATTTCAGGGTCATAAGTTTAAGCCCTATGCTGAGTGTGAAGCCTACTTAAAAAAATTAATATTGGGGCGCCTGGGTGGCGCAGTCGGTTAAGCGTCCGACTTCAGCCAGGTCACGATCTCGCGGTCCGTGAGTTCGAGCCCCGCGTCAGGCTCTGGGCTGATGGCTCGGAGCCTGGAGCCTGTTTCCGATTCTGTGTCTCCCTCTCTCTCTGCCCCTCCCCCGTTCATGCTCTGTCTCTCTCTGTCCCCAAAATAAATAAACGTTGAAAAAAAATTAAAAAAAAAAAGTTAAAAAAAATTTATATGTGTAAGAGAGTGGCGATGGTTGTCCAACCTCATGAATGTGTGAATAATACTAAAAAACACTGAATTATACACTTTAAAATGGTGAATTATATGGTATGTGAATTATGTCTCAATTTTTAAAAAGTGCTTATTTATTTTTTTTTCAACGTTTATTTATTTTTTGGGGGACAGAGAGAGATAGAGCATGAACGGTGGAGGGGAAGAGAGAGAGGGAGACACAGAATCGGAAACAGGCTCCAGGCTCTGAGCCATCAGCCCAGAGCCTAACGCAGGGCTCGAACTCCCGGACCGCGAGATCGTGACCTGGCTGAAATCGGACGCTTAACCAACTGCGCCACCCAGGCGCCCCAAAAAGTGCTTATTTATTTTTAAGAGAGAGAGAGAGAGAGAGCACATGCGTGCACACAAGTGGGGGAGGGGCAGAGAGCGAGAGGGAGACAGAATCCTAAGCAGGCTCCAGGCTCTGAGCTGTCAGCACGGAGCCTCATGCAGGGCCTAAACCCACAAACTTTGAGATCATGACCTGTGCCAAAGTCGGATGCTTAACCAACTGAGCCACCCAGGTGCTCCAAATTATATGTTTTTTAAAAATGTGCAAGAAGGATATAGATAGGGTCATCAACTATGCCAGTTGGCCTAGATTCAGGGAGTTGCAGAGATGCAGGAATCTCAGAACTAAAGTCCACAGAGTCCTAGAGAAACCAGAACAAATTGATCATCTTAAATACAGAGTTTTAAAACTTATTTTCAGGAGAATGAGCAAAAAAAGCTTGAAGATGTGAAAAGCTTTCTTATAGACTCAAGACCTGAAACCCTGTAGGCAAGAGGGGCCTTTCCGGGAAAACTGTCACGATTTCCTCTCTCAATTTCCACCCCACCCTAAGCTCCTGCCTGGGACACCCAGACAGGGGGTGTACCCAGCCTAGCCTGGGCCTGGCACTCAACAGGCAACAGTAGGTGCCAGCTCATACTCTCTGAGGCTCATGTTGGTGATTGTCCACTTGGCACTTGTGGACCATTTTGGCTCAGAATTTTTGCCACTTATCCTCCCTTCCCTTTGGCACTGACAAGGGCCACATATATCCTACCCAGCAGAACTTTTATCCTTCTAAAAGCATCCTCAGGCCCTCTTACTCCCTTGCATCCTACCTCCAGCTCACTTGCCTCCACCCAACAAGTCTGTGGGTATCTGGCCACCAGCGAGGATCTGGGCTGTGTTCTCCATGAACAGGACATGGCTCTTGGGCCAAGCAAGATTTCCCATGTCTAAAACTTAATAAACGTGATTTAGTTTAGGCTCCTTACATCCCCACCCCTTACAAAATACAGTGGGATATGAGATTCTGCAAGTCTAACAGAAGCAGTAACAAAAGTCTATCTGGTCACGCTTTGCATGTGGCGCTGCAAGGTAGTGGCAGGAAAGCAGAACCTGGACCATGTTGGCACAGTACTCGGCTCACAGTAGGTGCTGATAAATATTTGACAGATAAACAATCTTTCCATTTCATCTGTAGACTGCTAGCAGCTCTGCCCAAACGTGCGGATCTCATTGATTTGGTGAGACTAGCACGCAGTAGGGTCGCAAGAAATGCAGGTGGCCAGCGTGGGCCTGCCAAGGGCAGTATCAGGACTACTATGCAGCCATGTTTCCCGCCCACCGGCTCTCGTCAGCCCAGAGCATGTGGGCTCAACGTCCCGCGCGACAGCCGCGCTGGGAGAGAGGCCAGCGATTTGGGGTACTCGGGAGGGGGCGGGCGCCGAGAAGTCACCCCGCTGGGCCTTGAAACTCCATTTCCCATAGGCCCTCGCGCGCGACTCCATTTCCCACAATCCCCGCTCGGCTTCCGGCGCGGCGGAGGCGCCTCCAACGGCTTCCGGGTTTAGGCCTGGCGCTGCGGTAGAGGCGGCGGCAGCGGCGGCAGAGCGGGACGCGGGCGGTGGGAGCGGAGGGACCGGCATGGACGTTTCGGGGCAGGAGACCGACTGGCGGAGCGCCGCCTTCCGGCAGAAGTTGGTCAGTCAAATGTGAGTAGGGGCCGGTCTAGAGGCCGAGATCCCCGGACCTTTCCCCCCTCAGCCCCCCTGCGCGCGGAGGGCGAGGCCGGGCCGGACCCGTGGGAGACCTAGGGCGGCCGGACCCGCGGGGGCTTGGGGGTGCCGGGAGGCCGAAGGCGCCAGGGACTCGCGTGAGTTACAGGGCGCGGCCGAGCCTTCGGCTGTCCCTTCCGTTCTTCGCTGATACGGACTGTTCGTTAGCTTTCCTGGGGCCGAACTCTGCAAACCAGCGAGCCCTGGGTTATGAGTCATCGTCCTGAGCTTTCTCATTCGTCATTTGTGTGCTTTGGTTGCAGACTTTCCCCTGCTTTGAATCACACTGAATTCGAAAAAGGAAAGGGGCAGCCCGTGGCGGCTTTAGCAGATCTGGGTGTTTTGTGATTCCTCTTTAAGAAAAGCGCATCAGAATGAGAGAAAGAAATTGGAAGAGGGTGGCTGGAGGATGAGGTTCGGAGGCTAGGTGCTTGGGGCTGAGGGCGGTAGGGGATGGAGAATCTAGGGGTAACCTGCCTCCGCCGCCCCCCCCCAGTCCCGCCCCAGTGTGGATTTCTCGAGGGGTGGCAGGAAGAGGTTGTCAGGAAGTGACCTTTGGTTGGGAGGACGGAATGAAGAGCTGGGGTTAGTTAGTGCCTTGTCCCCAGTTTCAGCTGCTGAACCCTTCCATGCTGCCAGTGCGCCCTAGGCTTCACCACCGACTACTTGTTTCGTTTAGCAGTCTTTTACTGAGCTTACTGGTGTGGTGATAGCCACAAATTTACCTGAGACAGCTTCTGCCCTCGGGGAACGCGCTACCACAAAGGAGTAGTTATAGTGCCTTCTTTCTTCTGGGAGGAATTGTCAGTTTGCTTGAGCAGACCACGAGCAGTCTGTGGAGTAGGTAACGAATAAACTGAGCCCTAAAAAAACAAGAAGGAGTGTGAAAGGCCATCGTTCCAGGCTGAAGAGTGGAGAAGTGTGAATGCTCACTGCATGGAGGACATTGCTGTAGGCTGGTTTCTGGAGTTTGAGGAGTAAGGAGGTTCAGGAGATGGTAATGGAATGAGGGTGAGCAGGTGCTGACATGTTAGTGGTGGGAGTGCTGTGCTAAGGAGTTGAGCCTGTATTTGGCATGTTGCCTGCTTTGAGGTAGTGAAATGCCAAAGTTGGGAAGATTCCCTGAGTCCCTGGAGATGGATCAAGAACAGAGGAGAGAGAGAGAGAGAGAGGCCAATTAGGCCATTATGAGTTTTGAACTCTTGGGGTTTGGGGACCTTTCATTTTTCATCCCTATATTCTTACTGCTAGATCACTGCCTGTCACGTTGCTCCATAAAATGGTTGTGGAATGACCTAGTCGGCAGGAGATTATAAAGGTCTGCAGTAGACAGTGGTGGAAACTGAAAGAGGAAGACCATTCCAGAGATAGGGGAGAGCAAGCATAGACAGTTCTTGATGACTAACTGGAGGGGGTGGAATGCAGCAGTGTGGAAGGAAGGAAGTGGGATGGAATGCTGGGAAGCCTCTTAGTACAGTGGAAGGCATAGGGACTGTAGAGTTAGTGGCTCTGGGCACTGCCATGGAATAGTCTGGGGACAATTCTGCAGATATTGCAGAATCTGATAATATTGGGGTTTTTTGTTTTTTGGCTTTGGGGTTTTTTGGATGCCCTGGAGTTGTCTATAGCTGAAATCTTGATGGATGGTCCACTTCAGAGCTCCTGCAAGAAAAGCCCCCAGGGCAGTGATTTCTCTTTGGGGAGACCAAAGAACCAGAAGGATGAGTTGTCATCAAAGGAAATTGGGGAGGGTGGGGGGAGAGTCAGAGGTTAAGGAGGGCGATTGAAGAGTCTCTGGGTGTCAAGGACTGACTGTATACTTTATAATTCAACTTCCTTCTGCTTCTAGGGTAGTTGGATTCTTTCTTTTCTTTTCCTTTCCTCCCTTCCCTTCGCTTCCCTCGCTTCCCTTCTCTTCCCTTCGCTTCCCTCCGCTTTGCTCCCCTCCCTTCCCCTCCCCTCCCCTCCCCTCCCCTCCCTTTCCTTTCCTTTCTGCTAGATAGCTGCTTGTGTGTTAGTTTTTCCCTAGTTGCCGTAACAAAATACCACAAATACAGTGGCTTAAAACAATACAAATTTATTACCTGGCAGTTTCTGTAGATCCGAGATCTAGGTGGACTCAGCTGAGTCTTCTGCTTAGGGTCTTACAGAGCTGAAATCAAGACGTTGGTTAGGTGTGCATTTTTTCCCCCAGAGGCTCTGCAGTAGAATTTGCTTTTCAGGCTCATTCAGGTTTTTGGTCAGATTCAGTCTATGCAGTTGTAGGACTGAGGTGTTCTTGTGCCTTACTATTTGTTAGCCAGTGGTCAGTCTTTGTTCCTGGAAGCGACCTGTATTCAGTCTCACACTTTGTATTTTGGCCCCCTCCATTAGGTGTGGGTTTTTCTACTGCATCTTTCTGACTTCAGCCAAGAAAATTCTCTAGTAAAGACTCAGATTAGATTGGAGCCGCTCAGATAATCCAGGGTGATGTTCCTATTTTAAAGTGCATAACTTTAATTATCTCTGTAAATATAACGTAGCGTGTTCATGGATTCCCATGGACACCTTTGGGAGCCTTTCTGCTACCACTGCTGGGATGAGCAGTTTCAGATGTTGTCTGCCTAACATGATGTGGTGTTCTGAGTTTGCAGATTTGTCTGTTTTATCTCTATGGTTCACTTTAAAAATCATGATTCTTGGTACCTTGATTTGTTGTGTTCATGGGTTTAATTCTGACTTCCTCTGGTGTTCATGCTGTTGGTTGAAGGTGGATATCTTGGGAAATGTTTTGAACCTGAGTAGTTTATAGATGAGTGAGGGAGTAAAGAAAGCATAGTGAAGAGCTGGGGAGTTTCAACAGAAGGAGAAGCATCTGATAGCTCGTTCACTCTCTCCATCTTGCTCTTGAGTATCTACCAAGAGAACAGTGCTTCAGATCACAGGCCCAATAATCTAGTCTCTTGTCCATCATGAGAAAAAGCAGTTTTGAGTTGGGGCTGGTTAGGAGAGCCCTTGCAGGGACTCTCTAGTATAGCCTCTTCTTAGCCCTCCACCGCCTCTACCTCATTTGGGCCCATTCTGGACTGCACCTCCCCTTGCTCTCTGCTGCCCTGCTGAAAACCTTCTGTGACTTCTCTTAGCATTAATAAGACTCCAGGTGGCCTGGCCTAGTCACCTCTTCTCAAACCCCCCAGCTTGCTCCATTCTCTCTGGTTTTTCAGCTTCTTGAACACTCTTAAGTTTTTTTTTTCTCTCTTTTTAAACAAGTTATTACCAAGTATTTAGGGTATTTGACAATGGGTAGACTCCCCCCCCCCCCCCCCCCCCACTTATGACCAGTTTCTCTTCCTTTCCTTTAAATGTCTGCTTAAATAACAAATACTCCAGATCCTTCCCTGCCTACCTGGCCAAAGTGGGTCACCTCCTTCGATGTGTTGGATCTCAGCCCCTTGTAGTTTCTGGTGGGACCCCAGTCCTATGAAACATGGCACCTGGCAAATAAAACACTTGTTGAGATGTGCAAGAGTAAGTGTTTTCCTAGAGGCTGCGTGAACCGCTCTCTCTACAGTGGTCTTCTTTACCTGTGCCAGCGTGCATTGTGAAGCTCTGGAAACCCCATTTTCTCTACTTGTTAGCCCAAGTGACCATGTGCAGGATACTTAACCTTTCTAGATCATCTTTATCTATGAAATGGCTGGAGTCCAGTCTGTCTTAACAGGGAAGGTGGAGGGAAAATAAAAAGACCTCCACCTGAGCCCTAGCAGATGCCTCCTCCTTAGGCTCTTGCAGGAGTAGGAGCCCTGGAAGGTGAAGGTGAAACCCCCAAGGCTGGTTATGGGAGTTGATGACACTTAAAGGAGCTCGTGGGGAGGGTAGTTGTGATGTTGTTGGTGAGTTCAGATCATTTCTTCATTGAACATCTACTGTCCCCGCAGCACTCCAGGAGAAGCCCCCCTTAGAGTTCTCAAGCTGGCCTTTGTGGGCCTTGGGCCTTCCTGGGGGAATCGTTGGATTAGTGTTGACCATGGGTCTGGTCTGTGGGATCCCAGAGAACAAGCATGTATTTGTAGTTGCCAGCACTGTGCCTGGAATGGAGTAGGTAAGCAGTGAATGAATGAAAGGACTTCGTCAATCACTTCTTCCGGTTCTTCTAAATTTTTCTTCCATCTTATTCTTGAGACTTTTTATGCCTCCCACTTCTTAGTACAGCATGTTGCACATATAGACATGAAATAAATAAATGTCTGTTGGGTTGAACAGATTGCAGAGGGGAGGAGATACGGGTGGTGGGGGAAGGGCAGCGTGTATCAGGGCTCTCTACTCAAGTGCCAGGAGATTAGGGAGCATGAAGCAGACTCAGGGCAGACAAGTCAGCCTCTGAAAGAGATTTGAGCTCCAAGTTGGGACCTAGGAGATGGAGAGCTTTCTGCCTGTACCATAAGGAGAAAGTTGAGTGCTACTTAGCCAGAAATGTAATAAAACAAAGCAAAACAAAACATAAGGAACAAAGAACAAACAACTAATAGCAACTTCCAAGGTCCTGGAGAGGCCTTAGGGAAGAAGGATGGGGAGTGCCCTGAAACTTGCATGTCTAGATTCTGCCTGTGGGTTATGTTTTATCCTCCAAGCAGAAGTGAGCGAGTCTTGGGTGAGCTTTTTCTGTGGCTTATCATGTTCAGACATCCCAACAGCCTGGTACCCTCCTGGTGCGATTCTGGCCCTTGTTTTCCAGTGGGGAAGTTCCTGAGCTCCTCTGCTTTCTCGATAGCCTGGTCCGTATCTCAACAACTGGGCTGGCTTGCAGGCTTCTGTGTATAAGCCACCACTAAAATGTTCATTCCCTGAGGCCAGGGGCCCATCTGTCTGACCACCTTAAGCCTTGCTGCCCCTGACAGCAATCAGGAAGTGATCGTGGAGCCATTGACTTCAAGAGTCTTGACCCTTGGCCCTACTGC